GAGTGACGGAAAGAGTGAGCGTGACGCAGAGTGAGAGAGTGATGCAGTGAGAGAATGACGAGTAGTGAGAGAGACGGAGTCAGAGAGAGAGAGAGAGAGAGAGAGCGTGACAATAAGTGATGTGTGTTGAGGCGTGACTCACACTTTGAAGGCCTTGTGCAGGTTGCCACTCTCGAAGCGAGCCTCAAACAGCAGTGTGTCGCTCTGCTTGTCCACATTATAGGTGGCCTGTCTCAGCGGCCGTGGGCTGCCCCCCACACGGGAGTATGTGAAGTATGGCTCCTTACACGCTGCAACACAGCAGCCGTGTTTACATACATGCTAAATACACGCTAAATACACATTGCAGGACAGCAGCCGGGTTTAGATACACACTAAATACACGCTGCAATACAGCAGCCGGGTTTGTATACACGCTAAACATACACTGCAACACATTAGAATACATTAGCATATGCAGCACAGAAACAGGCCATTCGGCCCAACTGGTGTTTGTGCTCCACATGAGCCTCCTCCTCCCTTCCTCAACTGACCCTTCAAGCAGAACCTTCTATTCCTTTCTCCCTCGTGTACCTCTCGAGCTTTCCCTTAAATACAATATCTATGCTATTTGCCTCAACGACTCCTTGTGGTAACATGTTCCACATTCCCACTACTCTCTGTGTGAAGACATTTCTTCTAACTTCCCTCTTTGATCTATTTGTGACTATTTTACATTGATGGCCCTCAACCACATTTATATACACCCTAAATACATGCTATGTACAACACCCACATTAAAATACACTCTAAAGACACGCTGCAGTACTACACCCTCATTAATATACACGCTGTATATGCACAGCTCCTTATACACAACGCAACAACCTGCCTCCTCTCGACTGGCTCTGGCTGGCCTCCAGTTTGTCCCTCGTCCCCTCCATTCCACCATCGGTGACCGCGCTTTCAGCCACTACCCCCTGAAGCTCTTGTCACACTCGCTCCCTCAATCCGTCTGCCTTATTCCCTCCTTCCCCATTTTCAGGTCAAGCCTAAAGACCTTCCTCAACGACAATGCCTATGGCCACCGCCAGCTCGGAGTCAGGCTTCGCCACTGTTAAGCTCTCTGGGACTGTATCCCACGTGAAGGGCACTGTGCAAATGCAAATTGTTGACCCTGTGGAGTTGATGCTGAGCTGGGGAGATACTAGAAATCAGGATTTGGGGGCGGGGTGGGAGGGGGGAGTGACAAAAACTCAACCAATACAGGCCGTGTAGACTGGGTTGAGGCTGGGGGCTGATGGCGTGTGGGAGGGGTGATGTACATGTACCTTTGTTGGAGACGTAGACAAGCAGCCCCTCCTCGGGGGCCAGGCACTCTAGGGATTGCTCCTGTCCCGTCGGCTTGTACAGCGGCTCCGGTTCCGGGAAAATACCCTCTGTGGAGACACAATTCGTCAGCAAAACCCATCTACTCACTCCACTGGGCATACTGCTCAACTGGGAGTGTGGACACACAGTGTAGGGGGAGCTTTACTGTGTCTCTAACCCTGACCTGGGAGTGTGGACACACAGTGTAGGGGGAGCTTTACTGTGTCTCTAACCCTGACCTGGGAGTGTGGACGCACAGTGTAGAGGGAGCGTTACTGTGTCTCTAACCCTGACCTGGGAGTGTGGACGCACAGTGTAGAGGGAGCGTTACTGTGTCTCTAACCCTGACTTGGGAGTGTGGACGCACAGTGTAGAGGGAGCGTTACTGTGTCTCTAACCCTGACCTGGGAGTGGACGGACGGTGTGGAGAGAGTGTTACTGTATCTGTTACCTGGCTGATGTTGAGCTCTGGGCTGGGTGGACCCACTCACCGATGTGCCTGATCCTCTCTTTGAGAACCTCACACTCCTGAGGCCAGCAGGGCACCTGTGCCGAGCGCAGAGCTGAAAGGCCATACAGGTCCCGTGGCTTCCGCAGGCGTCTCACCTCCCGACCGAACTGCTTCTCTAGGACAAGCTGTGTGGTGCGGGAGCCCAGTTGCTCGTAGATAGACTCTTTAAGAGCAGAAAGGAATAGTTCAGTCTGATGTGTACGTGAGTTGGATCCACACTTTGAAACCTCTCAACAAAATGATAAGGCAAGAATGATAATTTATTATTATAGATTTCTTACCAAGAAACTCCAGTGGGGAGCAAGCACCAGCAAAGACATGATGGGGAGAGAGCGCGGAACGGGGTTTAGAGTAGAGAGCTCCAGGATATCTGTCTAGATACTTGGGAAGTAAGTGGGGAGAGTCGTATTCATGGGGGTGTACCCCCACCCCACCCATGCAACATCCTCCCGACGTGAAAGGCGCTCAATAAATGTAATTTTGTTGTTGTTGTTGTTCCCAATCCCCAGATCAGGTGCTAACCTTCAACTGTCCAGTGCCTTGGGACATTCTCCCAACGTGAAAGGCACTGTGTAAATGTCAATTGTTGTTGTTGTCTCTCCAGGGTTCGGTCACCTCTATTCCTGGACAAAGCTGCTAACGACACCTTTTCTGTTTGTCGTGCCAGGCGCGGGGTGGAGGGGGTGAGGGTGGGGATTGGGATGGGAAAGTGGGGAGATTCGAGGGGGGGAGTGGGGTGTGAGTGGGTGGAGAGAGGTGTGAGGGGAAAGGGGGTGTGAGGGGTGGAGTGGGGTTTGAGGGGGAAGAGTGTGTGAGGTGTGGAGTGGGGTTTGAGGGCGGAAGTGGGTGTGAGTGGGTGGAGGGGGAGGGAGTGGAGTGTGAGGGGGGAGTGAGGTTTGAGGGGGTGGAGTGGGCTATGAGGGGAAAGAGGGTGTGAGGGAGGTGTGGGATGTGAGGGGGGGGCTGTGTGTTAGGGGGTGTGTATGGGGGTGGAGTGGAGTGTGAGGCGGGGGGCTGTGTGTGAGGGGGGAGGGAAGCGTAAAGTGGGTGTGAGGATGTGAGGAGCAGCTATGTGTGTGTGTGTGTGTGGGGGGGGGAGGTAGGAGGTGGGGGGAGGAGTGTGAGGGGCTCACCGTCCCCGTGCCGGGATACCTCCTTCTCCTCAAACTCCTCCTCTGAGTCCTCGGTCGCCTCCATCTCATCCTCCTCCTCCGAGGTCAGAGACCCCCCGTCACTCTGCTTCATCCTCGCCCCCTTCCCGGCCTTTTCCTCTGGAGGGTGGGGACAGAGAGACCGAGTCAGCACAGACCCCTCCAGGCATACAACCCCCCCTCCCATTTGCACCCTGCCCGCCCGCTCACACACAACACACGTATCCCCGCTCGCGCACGCTACTCCACTCACACACAACACACACCCCTCTGCTCGTGCACACTACTCCGCTCACACACACCCCCGCTCATGCACGCATCCCCGCTCATGCACACAACCCCTCTCGCACGCACACAACCCCTCTCACAGGCGCACACCCCCACACTCACGCACACCGCCCCCCACCCACCCACCCGCTCACACGCACACCCCTGCTGATATACTGCCCACCCCCCCACACACACCCCCGCTCACCCCCACGCGCACACACACTACTCACACACACACACTCACTCACTCACTCACACAACAACAACTTGCACTTATGTAGTGCCCTCCAAGCAGGTTAGCGTCTTGGAGCGCTTAATGGTGGTGGAGCCTCACACTGAGCTTGCATCACTCACACACACCACCACCCCGCTTGCACACACTACTCCGCTCACACACATGCATCCCCGCTCACACACACACACCACCACGCTCACACACATTCAAACACACCCCACCCGGTGTCCGCCCTCCCCCCCACTCCCCCTGCACTGACCTGTGAAGCGACTGTATTGCTGAAGGTGTAGCCGCAAGAAGCGACTGTAGACATCTTCATCCTGAGGAGAGGAGAGCATCAGCCTGGGGCAGGGGGTGGTCGGGGGAGGGGTGTGTGCGCGCAGAGGGTGTGGGTGTGAGCTCAAGACCACGCCTTCAGCCACCCTCATACCCCTACCCTCCCCGCGTTCCACCCCTCCTGATCCCAACACCCAACTCGGGTCCAAATCCCTGACATTCCAGCCCTTGAGATGTCCTCCCGATGTGAAAGGCAACGTGTAAATGTGATGTAATTATTGTTGAGCGGGGAGGAGGTCTGGGTGTGGGGTGAGCAGGGGGGGGGCGCAGGGGTTGAGCCGAGTGTGAGGGGAAGGAGTTGGGAGGGAGTCGTAGTTCAGGGTCAGACTCACTGGCTCATCCACGTCATTGTCCACACGCTCCATCTGACAGCCGGTTCTCTCATTCCCTCTGTCCTGCCGCCCACCGGCCCGCTCGACTGGGAGCAGTACCGGTGGAGGAGGGGGTGGTTGCTGAGACGAGCGAGGTAGGGTAGGGGGGACATTCAGGGGCCATTGTGATCTGTCAAACACTCTGTGGCCTCTGACATTGACCAGCAACCGTCCCTATGGCAATGGCTAAACACAGTCATGAATGGAGAGAGATGACAATGATAATAATCCTTGCATTTGGGTTTGCACTTCATCACGTCGAAAGGACGTCTCAAAGTGCTTCTCAGAATATACTGTGAAGTGTAGTGACTATGGTCTTCCCTGCTACACTATTCACAAAATTCAACTAATTCAAACTCCGCCGCTCGCATTCTTGCCCGCACTAAACTCTGTACCTCCATTACCCCAGTACTCATCAAACTCCACCGGCTCCCTGTCACAGAGCAGATCGATTTCAAGATCCTCTCTCTTGTATTTAAATCCCTTCATGCCCAGGCACCCCCCCCCTCCCCCCCACCACCCCCCACTCTCTCGCCAACCTGTTCTCTCCATACACTACTCCCCACTGCCTCCCTTCGACTGGCTCCAGGCTCCTCCTGCTCCCCCTGACCCTCCATCCCACCATCGGCATCCATGATTTCAGCCACTATACCCTCTGAAGCTGTGGAACGTTTTCCCTCAATCTCTTTGCCTCGCTCGCCCTCTCCCCATTTTCAGGTGGCGCTTGAAGGCCTTTCTCTTTGACCGTGCCCGTGGAGACCTTCCCCCTCCCCTCCGGCTCGGCATCATCGGGCTCCGACGTGAAGGCCGCGATGTGTGAACGGAACGCAAGTTTCTGCTATGTATTTACAGGCAAACGCGATGATAGCACAATTGCGCAATGTACAGTAACGAAGTGCGGATGGTAACGGCGACCACGAGATCACAGTGCGGGGGAGTGGTGGGGGAGAGAGTGTTGTCGTGTGGTGCCCACAACGTGGTCTTTTCTTCCCACTCAGACCCCCGTCCCTGGAGGTTTGTGTGTGACTGACACATTGGTGCCCTGAAGGAGCTCAGGATTGTCAGGTAAAATAGGGGGGGGGTGAGGGCGGGGTCCGGGTGGTGATTGGCTATCGTAGCTGTCACTCATCTTGGTGGGATGGGCTCTGGCTGACGATTGGCTGGTCTGAGCTGTCACTCAGGATTGGTGAGTGGGCTCTAGATGGTAATTGGCTGGTCTGAGCTGTCACTCAGATTGATGGATGGGCTCCGGATGATGATTGGCTGGTGTGAGCTGTCACTCAGGCTTGATGGGTGGGCTCTGGATGGTGATTGGCTGGTCTGAGGTGTCACTCAGGATTGGTGAGTGGGCTCTAGATGGTGATTGGCTGGTGGGAGCTGTCACTCAGGATTGGTGGGTGGGCTCTGGACAGTGATTGGCTGGTGGGAGCTGTCACTCACCTGGACCCCCCCCACCTCTCTCTGACCTCTCTCCTCACAACAGTGCCCATTGCCTTCTCTGCACCGGGATGGCCTCCTCCTCATCCCCCAAATCATCCACTCCACCCTCGGCGGCCGTGCCTTCAGCCACTATGCCCCGAGGCTCTGGAACTCCCTTCCTCACTCCCTTCACCTCGCCCCCTCTCTTCCTATTTTCAGGGCTCAGACCTTTCTTTTCGACCGCGCCTTTGGTCACCTTCTTCCCCCTCCCCCCGGGCTCGGCCCCGGGATCCGTTACTGTGAAGCGCTCTGAGACATAAATAAATCTCAAGAAATCCAAGTTGTTGTTGTTGTTGGCATTCCCCAGTTTCCCATACGGCAAGTCCAGCGTACCCCGGCCGGCCAGGTGGTCCTCATGCTGGTGTGACAAGCTGTGTGGATTTACATGGGGGTACTACAGCAGTTACCCCATCCGGTTGCGTCCCTCCTTCTCGGGCCAGCAGATACCCTATGGATCTTCTCTCAGCCTCACATCAAGTAACCTTCAAACCCCACCCGCCATGCTCCCCCGCCAACGTCAGGCCCCTTTGTTTCCACAAGAGGGCAGCAAACCTCAATTATTACTGCACAATATCACAGTGCGTCTCAAAGCACTTTTTATACTGTGAAGTAATCCTAATAATCCTTGCGTTTGATATAGCGCCTTATCAAGTTTTTGAGACGTCTCAAGGCGCTTCACGGAAACGTTAAGTTTCCTTACTCCACACAGCTCTGTTTACCTTAGCAGTAAGTAGGAACCCGGTTGACGAATGGAGGATCGCTTTTCCAGGGGTAATAATCCCTTCAAAATAAATAAATAAGAATTATAAGACCACTCAATCCATGACTGTTTGTGGGGACGCTGCTGTGCACAATTGGCTGCCACGTTTCGCTCACAAAATACACAGTCAATTTCACTTTACAGTATATCCTGTGAAGCGATTTGAGACGTCTCGAAGACGTGATAAGGCGCTGTATCAACTGTAAGGATTATTACTATTACTACATGAATGTAATGTGTTGCATTGTTGTTGCTGGAGCGTGAGCTCCCAGTCCCCCACGTGGGACGTTGTTTACAATGACTGGGAGCTGAGGGAGCCTTGGACCATATCCTTGTCTCTGTGCTATTGGCAAACAGAAAGTCAGAAGCTGGAGTACGAGGTGCAGCTTGACCTCCACAGTCAACAGGGTTGCAAAACTTGGCACTCGTCCACTGGTTCTTGTGAAATTCAAGTGAAACTACAATTATCAGTTGCTATAGCTTATCACCAATGGTTCCAGTCTCAAAGCCCATCATCTCCTGATTGGGCTAGTTCTCTCTCTCTGATCTCAGCCGGCAATCTCATGTCTGCTCCATCATCTTACCTCGAAGACGTGATAAGGTGCTATATGAAATGCAAGGATTATTATTACTATTATTCCACAGAGCTCCCGTCCAGCTCTCTCTTTCTCTCTCTCTCTCTCTCTCACTCACTTTCTCTCTTGCTGAACTCTCTTCCCCTCAACGATGATAATAATAATCCTTGCATTTGATATAGCACTTTATCACGTCGTTGAGACGGCTCAAAGCTCTTCACAGCAAACACTGTGACCGTGTACTTTGTGGGCGAACCGCGGCAGCCAATTGCAGACAGCAGTGTCCCACAAACAGTTGATTGAGTGACCACATTTGTTTTAGGGGATTATCACCCCCAGAAAGTGATCTGGCAATCGACTATCAACCAAGTTCCGACTTGCTGCTAAGTAAACAAGACGGATCTGGCGTAAGGGAACTTGCCTAAGGTTTCGCACCAACCTGCCCGGGAATCAAACTCAGGTCCTCTTGCTTGCAAGGTGAGCACACTAAACACTAAGCTACAGGACTCCATATCTTAACACCAAAGCCTCCAGTCTATTACCTGGCCGTCTCCTCCATCACTCCACACAGCTCTTGTCACCCTCTCTCTCTCTCTCTCTCTCTCTCACTGAACTCTCTTCCCCTCAACCTTTCCTTCACTTTCCACAAATCCCAGTGACGTCTGACACAGTAATCCGGCTCCCATGTCCGGCCCCTCACACTGTTCTGGACAGGACCCAAATCTCATTTTATCCAGGATTTGACCTCCCAATTCTGACCTCCCAACCTCTCGCCATCCTGACCTCTTTCATCTTTATCTGTTCTATCCCCACCTCATGGCTGTCCATTGCTCCCTTAACTCTCCTCTTTTGTTCCACCCAATTTTTCCCTTCCTCCTACACTCTACCCTACTCACCTCCCTCCCTCGCTCTTCCCTTCCTTCTACACTCTATAGGACTTCTCACTCCCGGGTGATTAGACCTTGTCTTTAACAAGCCTTTGCTGAATAATTCATTCAGTGGCTGCTTTTGTTTACACCCAATATTAACGCTTAACACACTCTCTCCATTTATTATTCATTTACACATCAGCCCTTTTGTCGTTTCACTGAGCCGTGTAATTGAGGTTCCACCTGCAGTGTGTCTGTCCCCCCACCTCCCCCCTCACTTCCCCCTCCCTTCCAGGAAAGCCTGGATTTGCCTCTGGATATTGTACAACCCGCCCCTCCCCAAACCATATATTTCATTCTGTTTATGCCCGACTCATTTCTGAACACTGTTGGCTTGATCGAGCGCTTAGTATTAATCTCCACTTCAGACTAGTATTAGTATTAGAAGATTAGTATTAATCTTCACACCATCATGTCACAAAGTGCTTCTCAGGATTCACTGTCAACCGTAGTGACTGTGGGGGAGGGGGAGAGGGGATGGGGTGAGGGGGAGAAATCAGCTTTGTGAACATCACTTTGTGGCGAAACGTCAGCGATTTTTCCTCTCAGAGCCGGGGCGGGAGTTAGATCGGTATCTGACACAAACGGAAACCCATCACTGTGATCAACCAGTTGTCTGACTCACACGGAAACTTGTCACTGTGATCAGCCGGGTGTCTGACCCACACGGAAACCCATCATCACTCTCAATCGGATAATAATATAACAATAATAATCCTTGCATTTGATAAAGCGCCTTATCGCCTCTTCGAGACGTCTCAAAGCGCTTCACAGAATATACTGTAACGTGAATTGACTATATATTTTGGGGGTGAAATGCTGCAGCCAATTGCGCACAGCAGTGTCCCACAAATAGTTGTGGATCGAGTAACCAAATTATTATTTTTTTTGAAGGGGTTATGAAGGGAAAAGCGATCCGGCAATCGACTATCAACCGGGTTTCTATTTACTGCAGGTAAACAGAGGGGTGTGCAGAGAGGAAACTTGCCCAACTTTCCGCCCGAGTCGGAAAAGGAACCCAGGTCTCTTTTTTTGCAAAACGAGTGCTTTAATCACTAAGCTAGAGGACGTCTGACATGCAGAAACACGTGGCTGTGGTTAAGAGTATTTAAACCAGACTGAGAGTACAATAAACTATAAATCTACATGTTTGCCACTTGCACATGCAAACTTCTGTGTGTCAGGAATGGAAAATGCACTCACTCTGTCTCTCTCTCTGGGGAATGCATTCTGTATACCGAATGCTGGAGA